TAAGACTGTCTTGAGAGCGTCTCAAATTTCGCTGGACATACGTTGTGGAAGGTCGGTGGTGTGCGATCTGATAAGGTCCTCGCCATGGGGTGTAGAATTTAGGACACGAACCGGCAGGGACTGATGGTCGATGGAGCCAGACATAGTCACTAGGGGAATAAGTGGGTCCGTGGGTGAACCGGTCATAAATGCTCTTCTGGTGTTCTGACGAAGACTGCAGATGACGACGCGCCAGGTTGTAGGCTATCTCCAGGTGGTGGCGAAGATTTCGGACGTAGGGGATGCAGTCGATTTTTTCATATGGAAGCAGTGGCCTCTGGATCTCAACTGGGAGGCGAATTTCACGCGCAAACAAAAGCAGGGCTGGGGAAAATCCCTTCGATGAATGCACGGAGGAGCGATACGCTAGCAAACACTGAGGTGGGACGTCGTCCCAGGTGTTCTCCGGTGCGTTGTGCGAAAAGGCACGGAGGAGATTCTTGATAGTTCTTTTGGTGCGTTCGACGAGTCCATTATCCTGTGAGTGGTATGACGTAGTATAGGTCTTCCGGATGCCAAAAGCATTGCAGATGTGCGCGGTAAGATGACTCTCAAAAGCAGAGTGTAGATAAACAAGGGAAACAAAGTGGGACACCCAAATGTCGATGAAAACGCGACAAATCGTCAAGACATCCCGTTGATGCAAGGGGACAGCTTCGCACCACTTTGTGAATTAATCAACCCTAACGAGTATGTAGCGATTACCACGACTCGTCGTTGTTACTGGCCACATAACATCTACCCCAACTCGGTGATTAAGGGCTTCGGTCAGCATGGGAATTAACGGTTCTCGGGAAAGTGGTCGGGGCTGCTCAATCTGTGCACATGTAACACAGTTGCGGCAGAGATCAGTAACGCCATGATGGAGAAGTGGCCACCATAAACGTTGACGGACGGCATGTTCGATTTTTTGTTGGCTAGCATGACCAAGGTGGTGGTGAATCACCTCCAGAACTTTCAACCGGGGAACAAGAAAACAAGGTAACGAGGATGGTTCCACTATATACAAAACATCGTCAATCAGTCGTAACGCGCCCACAGATGCATCGTGTTGTATCTGACAAACTCCGTAGTTCCTTGTTCGATGGTTTATCGTTCCCATGGAGCTGTCGCGAGTAAACAAGTTAAATATCTGTATCGGCCGCCTGCAGTGTGGCCCAATCCACATCCATGCCCATATTAAGTATAGCATTCACTGAGGAAAAGTACGTTGGCAATTGGGAGAGGGCATCAGCGTTAGCATGTTGGGACCTAGGATGATACTGACGGGTAAACTCGAACTCCTGTAACCGTTCTTGCCAGCGGGCCACCTGACCTTCTGGTTAATGCAATGTTTGAAGCTATTGTTGTGCACGACGGTCAGTGCGTACTCGAAAGGGGCGCCCAGGTAGATAATGTCTAAAATGTTTGAGGAAATACACAAGGTCAAGCATCTCCGTTCGGGTCGTCGAATATCGTGTTTCCCGTTTGTCTAGCTGGCGGCTGGCTTATGCAATAACGAGTTCTCAACCATCGGTTGCCACTTGGAAAAGGACAGCCACTTTAGCGTTAGTAGTCGCATCCGTGTCCAGAACAAAAGAACCAGATGACGGGGACGTGTCTGGAAACGCAAGGATGGGGGTTGACGTCAAATTCTTCTTTGGCTCGTAGAACGCATGTTGGCATTCGTTGGGCCATAGGTATTTACAGCCCTTTTCTGTCAGGCGATGCTGAGTCAAGGCTAGGGAGGCAAACTTGGGAACGAAACGTCAGTATTACGAAGCCCAACCTAGGAAGCTACGAACGTCTTTACGGGACTGGGGTGTAGGCCATTCTGAGATAAGACGCTTTTTCTCTAGGTCTGTTTGGATACCATCTGGTGAAATTTGGTGGCCCGAAAAATGTGACTGCCCTCTGTTAAAATGAACACTTAGACGGTTTCAGCTTTAAGCCATTCGTTCTGAACTTTGTAAGAACAATCCGCAGGTCATCCATGTGATTCTCTGGGGACCTCCCATGAATAATAATGTCGTCAAGATAGATGAGACACTAACCTGTCAAGAACTGTCTGCATCAAACCTTGAAATGTGGCAGGGGCATTGCATAGTCCGAAGGGCATTGTTCAGAATTCGTAGAGACCACTCGAAAGGATAAAAGCAGTCTTCGGACAATCGTCCGGGTGCACTTCTACTTGCCAGTAGACTGACAGATCTAACGTGGAGAACCATTATGAACCAGCAAGTGCTTAGAGAGTTGCATCGATGCGTGGAATAGGGAAAGCGTCTCATCTGGTTACGGTATTCAGTTTATGATAGTCAATACACATTCTAAGAGAGCCGTCCTTCTTCTTGACTAAGATGATGGGTGACGCCCATGGGGACGATGAAGGTACATTGATCTTTTTGTCCAACCTATCATATGTCAGGGCGCCCAGCAGAGGCTGGTAATGCGCGGATATCCGTCGGGGTAGTTGACGCAAAGGCGGATGGCCGCTTGTATGAATTCGGTGCTGAACAACACCAGTGAGTCCCGGATTACACCCATCATCAAACACACCAGCGTATTCATCAATTAATTCCAGCATTCGCCCTCGGAGGGGAGCAGGGGTGGATGGACCAACCGAAATTTGATTTAGGATAGTGGACACTGATAAATTAGATGCAGAAGACGTCCGTTGCTGACGGCTATATAAGGATATAGAGCGGAATCAATTGTGACTCGAGAATGGGTGGTGTCTATAAGGGTGTGGTGTTACGTCAAGAAGTCTACACCTAGGATGAGGTCCCATGTAACCTGGGCAGAGATAAGAAACTGATGGGGCACGTTTAGGTCTCCAAGCTGCGGCTGTAGATCGGTAGCAGATCGGGCCTCCAGTTTAGCACCGTTAGCCGTCGTCAAGACATCACGGGTGGTTACCGGGGGTGGGTACTGGGTCAAGCATCGAAGAAAGGAAGCCTTTACGAAAGAGGCCGACGCACCAGTGTCTAAGAGTACTTTAGATGGCAATCCATTTATATGTCCCCATAACATCAAAGGTTGCTGAGTACAAGAGTATGTAGACAAATTAAAAAGGGGGACTTACTGCAGTCCGGCTGGCGATTGTGACCACATTGATGGGCCTTCTTCCCGTATCGTTGACAACAGTAACAGCGACTGGTAGCATCTCAATTCGGGCGCCGTCGGCTTCTTGAACGGTCAAGGCGAACGGGGTCAGGGCAGCTGCAGTCGGCGCTGTCGGCAATGAGCATAGAGAGCTGCTGAGTGTGTACGCGCAGTTGCTCTCAGCGTCCATGAAACGGGGAATAACCCTCTGTAACTCGGACATGCTGATTGCTAGCTGACGTCGAAGATATTTGTGAAGGTCCCTGGGCAGTATTCCTTCAACAAAGCGTAGGCAAACCAGATAGTCTTTACTGGTGGGGTCCCCGTAATTGTCAAGTCCAGCTGCCAGTAGCTGGAGGGCGTGAAGGTAGTCCAGGAAAATTTTTCCTGGCAGTTGAGCAAGGCATACTGAGAGCCAAGCCTCAAGTCAAAACACTGGTCTAGAAGCTCCCAGTTTTTTTGCATGGAGTTGCTGAAACCAGCAGCGTCTACACGGGCGAAGGCGTCCTCGGATAGGGTGTTCAGGACGTGGATGAAGTGGTGGGCCGCCGAAGTAACGTCCAGAAACGCATGCATCCGTTTCTTCCAACGTGGGTAGTCTGATGATAGTTGCAACAGTGGTGGGCGGGGAAGCGGCGGTAGAGTTGGCAAGGTTGAGGCAATATCCTCAGGAAACAACTTGGGAAGATTATCCTCAGATCGATTTGCCATGTTGTGTGTAGATCCGACGTCGGCGTTTCTTTCTGAAAAAGAGGAAGAAGAAAACTTATTTAGTGGTATTGTAGTGGTTTTTATTCCATTACACTAAGAGTGTGTCGCAGTCAGACCACACGACGCGGACACCAACATAACTAGCCAGGAAATGGGAATTCCAATCAAACCAGAAAATATAATACACAATTTTATCAATAATTATTGACAAAAAAATTCACCGAGCGAAATTTCAACCAACATGCTGGATAATCCAGCCCTGTCTCTTTTGCGCTAATTCAAAGTGGCGAAGCGTGACCTTCACGTACTCAGCCTCTTCACGAAACAGTGCGTGCGGTTATTCGTTGTAGTGAGGTTTGTGTAGGATTACTTTCAGTTGTATGCTGAGATAATAAAAAAATCTTTCTGTAAAAAAACGGTAACTGTAAACAACAGGAGCCCAAAACGAAACAAGCTAATGAACGGATTGATGACGACGAATTTATGTTAAGAAATTGGTTTAACCTGACTAAGAGCACTCCTGTAAGGAATTGGAAGGTTTTCTTGGGACATATACAAGAATACAACCCCATGTAACTATTTGTTAACACTGCAGTTCGTGTAAATAGACGCTTATTTCAAATTACGCACTTCTACTCCTGAAGCATCTGATTGGTCGCTAGAGGTAGGCAATTTCGTTTTGGGATGCCATAGTTTAGAGTCTTGCAGTGTACTGTCATATCTGGAGGATGGCTGCAGTGTACACCTAGTTTTAAGGACTACTGCCTTGCCAAAACTGTTATTTAGATATAAAAGGAAAATAAATATTAATGATTCGTTAAATCGAAAGCGTGGGCACGCTTTCGTGTGCTAACCTGTATTTACATGGACACATGACCTGTAGTGGTTCTATGGTTGGATGAAAGTATTTTCCAATAATCTTACGAATTACACAGTTTTTTTAAAGTTGTGGTCGAGATTGTCAATCTATAAAAATCCACATTATTTATTCATAATTCAACTTTTGGCTTCTTGTCTTACAGCCCTGATACTAACGGGAAGTTATTTCCCTCATTTAAACTTGTGCTAACGTTACTACCAGGTGGTGTTTATCAACTGTCGATTATTTGTCCCTTAAACCATTGTTCTGATTCAATTGTTCCTGTCACTCAACTCCTGGCGTCTGCCTCATGAACAACCGGCACCTACTAGTCCCAGCATTCTTGGCTTCAAAAGGATTAGTTAAACTCCACATAGACTCTTTCAACCATTTCATTCAGACTGAAATAAAGAACATTGTCCGCGCCAATAATCGTGTCAGTGTGCCAGAAGCCAACTGGTGGTTAGAGTACAATGACATTTATATCAAGCCTCCAACTGTAAATGATGGTGGGGTGGTCGCCAGCCGAGTTACTCCTCATGACTGCAGACTCCGTGATCTTACATATGCAGGCGAAATACTCGTTGATGTAACGTTTGTTAGACAGAACGAAGTAGTATCAAAGAAAGGTGTTCTTATCGGTCGTATGCCAATCATGTTGAAAAGTTCAGTCTGCGTTCTCAGTGGTACGTTATTTGTATTTGTTGATGTCCTTTGCTCCCATTTTCCAGTTCTCGCAAGCTTACAACAATTGTAAATTTATTCTAACCTATTCTTCGATAATGCCTTTTTTATCTACCCACTATGTTCTGAAATAACGCTTGTCGTGCCTAAAAAGAGAGCTGGGTGCTGAATTAATTTTTTTTGTCCTGAAGTAACGCTAGTCCGTGCTTAATATGTCCTGTGAGGGCTGGAACAACGCTGATAAGCAAACCCAGTAGGTTCTGATCTACTCCTGAAAATCCTTAGGAAAAGAACACGGTGCTGAATTAGTGCCAGTCATGCTGAAAACAAGCACTGAGTTCTAGTCTGTGCCATTAAAGAATCCATTTCACAACAGATTCAGAAGTTACTCACTATAGAACGTGAGAATTATTTCAGAATTAGTGAGATTTGATTTAGCATTATAGTAAGCTCGGGCTGTTGTTCAGCCAAAAATTATTTATCAAAATTAAAATACTGTATCAGTATTAATACTTGTATCAGTTTCTGACTTCGCTCAACTTTGTAAAAGAATACCTAAGACTATCATTTGTGGTGCAAGACAGAAAACTTCAGAAAAAATATTTACAGGTTACTTGAATTTTAAAGTAGGTAGGTGGGATTATTTGCAATAACTTATTTTTTGTGAAATTTAGAGTGTGTCGTACTGACAGACAAATAGCTGTGATCGTGTGCCATTATATGTAGACAGCCATTACTCTGGGCATCCACTAGTTGAAAACATCAGAAAACGTACAATCTTGTGTGTTGTTGATAATATCGGGCTAACAAGACACGCATGAACCTTCGTTGACGAATATTGGCTAGGTACTCCTTGCTCGTGTGTAATCAAGAAAACGTATCTAAAATAGGATTGCTCTGAAATAAGGTGGTGGTCATGTCAGGATGTTTACTTACTGATGACAGTTTTAGCGATACACAGCACAGCGGTGCTGGTGCATTCATTCTCTTTATAACTGAAGAATTTTCCCTACTTTTAGCGCATTTCGTACTTCATTATGTTTATTGTTATTCGTGGTTTCGAAAATCTTAACGGAAGCATCCTTTGATAGGGTACTGTGTTGGTTTGCCTATCTCATATTAGATCATTAGATATCACACAGTGAAACAGTATTATTTACTGGCTGACGTTTCGAACTCAATTTATTGTTCATAATCATTCAATTATAATAACACAACTTAAAGAAAAACTCAAGTTTCGAAGTTGTCTGATTATAACTGATATGATTATGAACAATAAATTGTGTTCGAAATGTCATCCAGTAAATAATACTGTTTCACTGTTATATTTCTAATAAACAAACTAATAAGGTTTGTCTATCAGTTTTCCAGTTTTTGCTTTCAAAGAACTTGAATAAGTTTTCACTTTGTATTCTGTACGTCATATCCTACTGTTAGGAAGTGCACCTAACTCAGCAATTTTGCACTTCACACTTAATCTCTAAATTCCTTATTTTTGTGAAAATCACTTCCTCACAAATCTCTGTTTGTCACAACACCCTTAAAATTTGATAATATGACATGTTTCGTGTTATTTGTGTGCTTTTCATATATCCTGAGTATTATGTGTAAAATCATTTAGGTAAAAGCCCATCAGAACTCATGAAGATGAAAGAATGTCCATTAGACCCTGGTGGTTACTTTATTATCGGTGGCACTGAAAAAGTAGTCCTTATGCAGGAACAAACATCAAAAAATCGTCTTATCATAGAAGAAGACAGTAAACGTGGCTTAGTTTGTTCTGTCACATCATCCTCAGCTCAAACAAAATCAAAAACAAATATCCTTACAAAAGATGACAAGTTTTATCTCTCTCATAATTCCTTCGTCGTCGATGTTCCCATCGCTATATTGTTTAAAGCGATGAATATTACTTCAGATCAGGAACTATTACAACTTATTGGTACAGAAGAATCTGTTTGGGCTAACTTTGTTCCTAGTTTAAAATTGTGCCTAGAGTATAATGTAAGTTGGTTTGGTTTTTGTTTTCCGTATTTACTCAACATATTTGTTATCTGGTATCATTTGAAGGTAAAGTTGATAATGTAACTCCATAGTAGACAAGTTAATTTTAATTATCACACAGTGATGCAGTATTAACAATTGGATGACGTTTCAAGCATAAATTATTGTCCATGATCATATTAATCTAGTCACACGTTTTCACAATTTTTCTTATATATATTTTCTCTGTCTCTCCAACTTACCTTTGTTGTTTGTTGCCATTTTCCATATCTCCGCTATAGGCGTTGCGTCATTCCGATTGCACATGTGTGGTGTTGAATCGATAAAGTGAATAACCTCTCTCTCTACCTAAGTATACTACTTTTTAATAGTCTCATCCTGTCCCACCCACCCTATTTTGTGATTACATTCAAGTGAATTCAATTGCTGAGCCTTTTTCTAGGTCTAGCTAAGTTTTCATATTCCAATAATCTAGTTGACCCTGCTCTATCAGTTTGACCTATATGATTGACCTCACAGTCATCAAATGGTATTTGGTAAATTGCATTCTTTTTATTCATTGTATCTATTGGGTCCTTAAGCCTACAAACAAAGTTTATCTCTCAGAGAGTTGTTTGGTTGGTTCAAATGCCACCCTAATTCCAACGTCATTGAGAATTCTACGTAAGGCCTCTGACGTCCTTTTTTCATACTGCAGTGCTTCAGGGGTTTTGAATTCTGTATTATTTTCGTTATCATTGTCTTTTTTTGCTACTGTTAGTTTTTCTATGGTGCATATATTTCTGAATAAATTCTGGTGGGTAGTTATTCACTAATAATATTTTCTTTGTTTGTTTGATTTAGTCATCTAAATCTTCTGGTCTACTAGTTAGGCTCCTAGCCCGATTATAAAGACATTTAACTAAACCTATCCTTATTGATTCTGGATGGGATGAATTAAAGTCTGAGTATTTATTAGAGTACGTCGGTTTCCTATAAATTCTAGTATCTAACCCACCATCTTGTTTTCGTTTTATTCTACAATCTAGCATGGCCAACTCACCCTGTTCATTTTCTAAGTCAGAAGTAAATTGGATTCCGTTTACTACTGAGCTTATGTGTGAGAAATTAAGAGATACGTTCAGATTTCAACACAGTAATGAATGTGTCATTCACATATCTCCGCTGTAACCTAGTAGCAGGATTAAACGTTCTAAGAGCCTTATGTTCACAACTATCCATAAATATGTCTGTCACAACTGGGGATATTGGTGATCCCAATAACTATAATAATTGAGAAAGCGTTAGACAGCATTTACAATGACAAATTAAGTCGTATCGACCGAGTAAAATATCTACAGGTATTTATGTATCCCTTAGCAATTAATACGATCTGTTAAATGATCTTCTACTGTCCCCTTAGGAGTGAAATCCTGTGAATCTGGAGATGTGTGCAGGATTCGTTTAAATATTAGGAATATATTTCGTTCGTAGTACTACTTCGTGTCACCTATTTTTAATAAGTTTTGTATAATTGTATCAAGAACTGTTACTGTTTAGTAGAAACTATGAGGACATTGTTAACTATTAAAAGTGTTATATTTCTGGAAAAAGTATATTTTCTATTGCTTCTCCCTGAAAATGGCATTTTACTGTTTAATAAGGTAAAAAATATATTTATCCATTCTTACCGTTCTGATATTGTCAAACATTTTGTCGCCAACGAAAGAGCAGCATAAATGTCTAAGAATATTTAGAGGTTGATGAACTAAACAGCCATACTTTACACACATAAATTTGTTTTTCTTCATCTGTTGCCGGTATACATTGTTGCTTTAAAAGTACCTCATCAAAAATGTTATTCATTGATTTATTTAAGACGCAAACTTGGTGCAACATGGACATCACTTATATCACACTAGATAATGAAGAGAAATATGATAAAAACACTAACAAAGTGTAGAAAACACCCAGAAAAGCAATCATTGCCTCTTATCACTTTCGGAAAGAACAGGAGAGAATTGCAGTGTGTTCACTGTTAATTTCGATGCTTAGGTATATCTGACCACTTCTCAAGCGAGAATGGAACGATCTTTTGGGTCTCAACCGTAGTCATTATGCACTGACAAACGCCAACCAAAAGCTGTCTTCCACTCCAAGTGGTCACATCACCTCTACATTTTCCAGCCAGTTCCAGCATTCGCTGACTGACTGGTTTCACCGTACCGATGTTCAGCAGTTTGATTTGCCACACTTCACTTAGCACGAAAAGCAAGAGAAGAAAGTAAAGGAGATTCGAAATAAAGATGATAAACGGAGATATGAGACAAACAAAATAGTAATATCGAAGAACAACATAGTTTTATTAGATATTATAAATTCCAGAGTTAGTAAGAATCCGATCAAGTGACGTATTTGCACGTTCTGGAGACTGCCTCACTTAAAAGGGGTTAAGAATCAGGTACACAGAGTTTCCTACTATCTCTAATGGCTGACGTGTGAGATGAGTGCGAGTATAGGTTCCTGCCAACCTTGCAAAAGTACTTTGCACTTTGGCAGTTGCCTAGCCTATTCAATACTTTCTGTGGGGCTAGCGACCCCACACCACAAAACCAATCAGACTGCTACATAAACTTCAATGCACAAGAAAAAAATTACAAATACCAAAAATTTAAAAAATAAACTTAATCTTCGCTGGAATCGGAGAAGCGAAATGACGCGGACTCTTGAAAGCATTTGGGAAGCCAGTCAGCCGATGTGTCTTCTCTTCATGAAAGCGAGAATAAGAATGGGGATGGGGAATGTCCGTACAATGTACGAGACTGGGAGGGCTTCTCAGGTAGCCAAAGATGTGGCATAGAAGTGATGGATATCTGCGAGATCAGATGGAATGGATGTGGATTATCAAAATTTTCAACTGGTGAGTCAGTAATCTACTCCGGTCTGGTCGCACAGACAACAACCACGAGCACTGAGGTAGTGAGTGGCTATCATGGTGTCACCAGTGACAGCCAAAGCCCTAATGCAGTGGGAACCAATTTCAGCCAGGATCATGACAGCAAGATTCAACTCAAAAGGAGGAAAGGAAGGTAACAATTATCCAATGCTACGCTACAAACAATGCGAAACAAGACAAGAAGGAAGAGTTCTATAGACGACTGCACACAGTAATGGACGACATCCTGAATAATGACATCAAAATCCTTATAGGCGATATGAATACAAGTTAAACTGGGAGCAGATAATACAGGAAGAGAATTCATCATGGGTTGAGAGGCTGTTGGAAAAGTGAATGACAATCAAGGACTCTTCGCTGACTTCTGCGCCTTCAGTGATTTGGTGATCGGAGGTAGCCTGTACAAATACAAGGATATACACAAGGTAACATGGATTTTGTCTGACGGATACACCAAAAACCAGATAGACTTCATCCCAATGCTGCTCAAGGAAGTGGAGACACAGCGAGTCTGCGTACACAAAGTCGAGAAGGGGAGCAGATGTGGTCTCAGACCATCATCTAGTTCAAGCAACCCTCAAAGGTGAAGCTGAAATCCTCCAAAACAGCTGAAGACAGGCCACAATTCAAGTTCAACATTCAGAAACTGAAGGACAAAACCACAGGGGATGCTTTCACTATAGATATCAGAGCAAAGTCGGATACACTACTTAGCATTACTGAGGACACCTGTGTGGAAAAACATTGTAACTGATTCTGTAAAGGTGATGCTCAAGGAAACATATACAACTGTCTTAGGAAGAAAGAAGAGTCAATACAAGAATTGGCTCTCAATGGATACTTGGAAGCTAATAGAGGAGAGGCAAATGGTGAAAGAGAGGATGAACCAATGCAAAGATGGACAACAGAAGGAGCAGCTGAGAGTTCAGTGTACATCTCACTGAACAAAGAAGTGAAGAATTGCGCTAGGAAAGACATTTCTATGACACACTGGCCGGTAAATGAATCAGAACAGGTTGGCCACAGGTAAAATAGACCTCAGAACATTATGTCAGATAACCAGGTCTCTATCCGGGAAGAGGTCAACCCAGATGATGAAACCTACAAAAGATGGTAGAGAAAACCTACCAACCAAAGAGGAGAGACGAATAAAACAATGGGCTGATCACTTCAAAGGATTCTTGGATCGACCACCACCTATAACCCGTCCAGAAACACCACCATTAGCACGCACACAACTGCCAGTAGACACCAATCCTCCAACCAAAGCAGAAATCCTGAATGCGGTCAAGCTACTAAAGTCCAGTTGGGAAGGCAGTAGGGCCAGACGGAATTCCCCGTCAAGCTGAGAGAAAGAGAACCAGAGCCTTCCGCAGATGTGCTGACGCCATTATTGCAAAATGTTTGGAAGGAATGAAAGTGCCTACTAAACGAAAGAAAGACTACCTTGTCAAGCTACCAAAGAAGGGTGACTTAAGTCTGCACAAGAACTGGCATGGAATCATGCTCTTGTTCACGCCGAGTAAAATACCATGTCACGTCATTCCGTAGAAACTAGAAGATGCACTGGGTGCAGGACTGCGCCCGGCACGAGTTGGATTGAGGAAGAGCAAATCATGTGCTGATCAAATCGCAACTCTACGCATCGTCATCAAACGAAGAATAGAATGGCGGCCAAACCTCCACCTCAGCTCCATCGATTTCGAAAAGGCCTTCGACAGAGTTGACCGACGAGTATTTTGGAAACTACTTCAACACTACGGCGTGCAGTGCCTTAATCTTTATCAACCTCATTCAACAGTTGGTTGCATGACAATGCCACGTGTCAGGTGATCCACAACGGAAAACTCAGCGAGGCGCTCGAAGTGAATGCAGGAGTAAGACAAGGCTGTCTGCCTATTATCATCGATGATATTCTTAATTGTAGTGGACTGGATTATGCGTCAGACTGTGGGGAGCGAGGAGACAGGGCTACGCTGGATCACCGATAATAAGGCTCTGGAAGATCTGGATTTCACGGAGGGATGATTTATGTTCAATGTCACACAAACTCAAACAATTGCAGGCGAAAAGCAACAAACTGGCTGAAGAGGCTGGTAGTGAAGACAGGACTCCGGGTGAACACAGAGAAGACAGAGGCGATGAAGATAACCAATCAACAGCAACAACAACCAGCACCAATCACCATTTGACAGAGGTTACCTCCCTCACTTATCTACGAAGCATCGTGTCAACCACAGGTGGAACGGATCAAGATGTCAAAGCTGGCAAGCCAGAATCGGAAAGGTAGGGTACGCCTTCATCAACCTGAAACCAGTTTGGAAATCTTCTGCACTCAGCATAAAGAACAAGATCCGGATTTTCGGCACAAACGTGAGAGTCAGTCAGTTCTATACGGGTCAGAAACTTGCGCTGTGTGTCCCGAAAAGGATTTCCAACAGTTTGCAGTAAACTTTTATCAACAGCTGCCTTCGCTCCCCACACTGAAGATCAAATGACTGGAAGGATTTATCAACAAGAAACTCTGGCTGGGAACAAACCAACCAAGAGGCGGTCGCTCAACAAATATGTAGGAGAAAATGGAAATGGATCGGGTACATATTGGGGAGGCCTTCGAATGACGTCGCGCGCCAGACCCTTAAGTAGAATTCCAGTGGAAAGCGACGAGTGGATCGTTGATGCTAGGATGATATGGAGAAAAGCGTGGGAGGAGGAGATGAGAGATTATGGTCAACCGTGGACCCAGGTGAAGAGGACAGCAGAGAATTGAACATAGACGAGATGTGTTGTTGAAGCCCTATGTCCCACTCAGAACCCAAGGGAATAATAAAATAATGTCACATAGTAGGGGAATGTGTGCATACTCCAGGTCAAAGTGTGTTTCGCTAGTGTAGAGACCTATAGATATCTACACATATGTTTCTGAGCTGTTTTCAGGACGTTATCATGTCTAACCCCACTGTTGTTTGAGGTCTCAAACCCGTTCTAAACGGCACAAACGCATTCACTCTTTGTGATTTATCATATCTAATAAAACTATTGTTTATCCATATTACTATTCTTTTTCCCTCGCACTTCTTATGTCTTTTGAACCTCCCTTTGCCATCTTCTCTTGCTTTGTGTGCCACGTAGAGTGTTGCAGTTTGAAATGATGCACTTCTGTGCAAAGTTCTATGTTGGAACCAGTTACTCAGTTGTCTGAGCACTGTGGTGATAGGTGGTTTGATGCCCTTAATCTAAATGGGGTACTTTTCGATAGGGATTTGAGGACTGGTGATGTTCTCAGGGAAACTTTTCTGTAGTAGACAATCGTAGAGGGCGGTCAAGTCCATGTGTTCAAAGGTGGCCAAAATATCAGAAAATAAAACAACTGTCGGCCTTCAATCTATCGTGGTATTTAGAGTTCATTTATAATCGTGATTTGACTTGATACCTAAAAGCGTTCGCTATATTATGTCTTTGCTATCTATTGTAATGACTCAGTGATCTCCCAAGCTGCCAGTGTCTTCTCTCACCATCTTTATGGTGTTTTGCACAGACAGTGCACTGTACTCTATGCAATATCAGTAGCTCACCACAAATCTAGCTCAGTTTGGTAGCTGGCCGCAGTAGTAGGTGGGAGTAATTTTTTGATGTCAGGCTTTCTTAGGATGATGTTAATGACCATCAACAAATCCTGAAGGAAACCTAGTACTTAATAGTTAGAGAAGTAACTATCGTGATAGATTGTGAGCCCGTGAACTCTTTATGTCTATTAGCCCAAAGGTGAACGCTGAACATTCACAATCCCTCTTTAGATTTTGTAGGAATTTCACCCCCCTTCTTAAAGCTAGTGTATAAGGCTTATTTTATGTAGGCTGTGAATGGTGGCTGTATGGGAGCATTTTTAATGGGAGACTGTAATCTACCAACTTTTTTCCGCAGCAAATTATTCATGGAAGCCGGTAAAATCTCTTGTTTCTCTCCCCAATTATTCCCTGTTGCTTATTGAGTCATCGGTTTGAGTTCCCTACTTCAGTGAATATCTTAGAGTTATCGTAAGTCATTTCATAGTGTTTCCTATTTGAAGAGATTTCAACAGATTTATTCCCTATGATCAAATGTGTATATTCCGAGATTTCAATAAGTTTTGTGTCAACATGGAATCTAGAATTCGCAAAGTCTGTTTTAAAAACCAACATCGGGACTTGTTTATATTATTTTTTAAGCATACCCAAATGCGTAAAATGAATTGAATTACAGTTCGTCATTGTCAATAGATAGGAATAATCGATAGTATCGGGATAATGCATTAAGTCATGCACTTCTATTGTTGATCAGAAGACGATTACACAAGCCCCTTTGATTGTATGATTTTTCGTGTGTTAGACGTTTGTCTGTATGAGCTTCCACAGACAATCATATCTGCCATATTCCATTTGGTTTCTTTTTGTGCAGTATTTGTAATGGAAGACGAGTATTAGTGACAATTTTTAATATGCGTTTCCAATAGTAATCGTATGCATACTTCCTGTGATACTATAATAGGATTAAATATTTTAATTTGTATCCGCCATTTTTCAGATTCACACGTGCCTTGATGCCTGTAACTGGTTGCATTCTCGTTTACGACAGCCTAGGTATCGTTCTTCTTTCGGCGCTGGTAGAACTCCGCGAGCGACTGGAATGGTCACAGAAAGTGATGTTGTTTTGGAGATACAGCGCTTTTTACGGGATATAATTATCACCCATGTTGAAATGGAAAAGCTTAATTTTGCTCCACGGGCTTTTTTTCTAGGTCAAATGGTGCGTTACTTGATACTAGCCAACGAAAAACGTATTCCTGTAAGTCAGATATCATAAAATTTCTATTTACTTACTCAGTTTAATTCTTTTACTCGCATTTTCTTATTTGTTCGCAGGTTTTTGAACTTGTCACTTATTGTGGTGTCCTATCATAATAGTTTTGTGAGATATATTTTTGATGGAATAAGCCAACAAAGTGTGAATTAGTTTGTACAAATAGTCAAGCATCATGTTGACAAACATGGATTCCCTCTATTTCTTGACTAATCCGAAAATTATATTTATTTATGAAGACATTATTTTCAGATTTTTGGGTGTTCACATACACAATACATAATCAAAAAGCGCGTTAACATTGCATAAACTGACTTGTTACCCACTTTTCTGAATTTTCGAGGATTTAATAGCACAGTAGAAGAGTCTACAACTATTAGAGTTCCTGCTTTCTAAAGAAATATTTTTGGACCGAAATACATTCGTTTCCTACAATAAATATGTACTTTACTTCATAGCTTATATTTATGTCAACGGTGATTTGGTTAACGTCATTCATTAAAAGCCTATACAGCCTGTCTTTTCATAAGCAAAACCATTCATCATTCTTCCATCACAACGTTTTGTGATAATATTTCCTTACACTCGCAGATAATAATTTCAGAATGAAAGTAAATATGGTTGAGTAGCTTTCAAAAATAAACACGATTAAGATTTCCTGTTCTTATTTCTTTGTCGAAACATAATTTTTCTTTGGACTGTCTATATTAATCATACATAATGTAGTTATATTGTTGTTCTGTATGTGTAAAAGCAAAATAGTGTAAAAAGGTTTCTTCCATAATTTTTTAGCCAGATGACCGGGACTTTTATGGAAACAAACGTATTGAGTTGGCGGGTAGTTTACTTGCACTTTTATTTGAGGATGTTTTCAAGACCTTCAATGAGGATCTTTGGTTAACAGTTTCGAAGATAGACACAAAACGGCGATGTACGCCGTTTGACATATCCCGACACATCAAAACATGGATGATAACAGAACAGCTGAACAGAGCTATTTCTTCTGGGAATTGGATCATAAAGCGATTCCGAATGATGCGGCACGGTGTCACCCAGGTCGTTAGTCGCTTGTCTTATGTTGCCGCTTTGGGACATATGACTCGAATGACAAGTCAGTTTGAAAAAACCCGTAAGGTGAGTCAAGGAAAAGTGTTTGGGACTTTTTCCTATTCTGCACAACTGGCAGATCTGATACAGCTATAAATGTATACTTATACAATTACGGTGAAAATTATTTGACACAAATCTTGAAGCTTTATGTGAAATAAGTGTAAACCATTCAACTATATTTCAAATGATGTTCCACTTTTACTGTATGCAACACTACAATATAGAAATCTTCAACCTAGAAATAATGGGTCGATTGCAGTGTAGAGTTTTATCATAGTCACTGCATTTCACTTTGGACAAAACTCGGTTTTCTCAGAGACGTATGAATCTTCTTCGGTTTGCTACCCATTAGAAGTACCCAGTAAAACCACTTTATCTGTGCCCACATGCTGGTAATATGCTTTATGATGATTTTAAGGAGCAACATGAAACTTCAGCATCTTAGGTCTTCTTCAGGCCTTACACATATTCCACAAGAGGCACCAGTTTGATACTCTTCTATACCGTCGGTCCCTATTCTCAATGGTATCTAGTTGAACCACCGTGGTTCATTGCCAGGTAGCACAAGAGTGCGGTTGTTAGCATAGTTCGTGCCGTCCGAAATAACTTAACGATGCGTGCTGAACCTCTGAATAATACACCTAGCATCTAATCTGCAGTTGCTCAGTAACCATGATCCATTGCCGACTGCAAACACCAAAATAGAAAATTTCCCAAAAGCAGACAACTTTATTGTCTAAGCGTGGAAATTCTACCTTCAGATATGCACATCTTTCTGTTTAAGGAAGGACTTTGTTTAACCTGGCGAATTCCAAATTCAACCCAACAGTGTCCATGGGTAGACCACATAGCTATAACTTGTCATTGGAGGGGTCGAGTGGAAAATTGCAGACCCCCTTCTGCAACGCCAATTTGGATTCCTACCAGGCTTTAGTCCGTACACGTCTACGCATAGCGCCAAACGGAAGTAAAACATAAGCAGTCACGAAGTCGTAACGTCTCCAGCCTCTTGATAAGAGCATCAATTCTGTAACAAGGGAGATGACTAGACAAATATCTGAGTGTAACAACAATAGTCATTATGAGATAGCCTGACATCGGTGACAGGTTATGCACACCGACCAAATGGGCTCATAAGAGAAATGAGAACCTCAGAAATATAAGGGACTTCAATGGCATTTAATAGAGCTTATACAACCGTGTAAGAGCTTATGGGGAGAGTTGTTGTTTGAAGTGACGGCAATCAATGATGTCCGTCAGGGATGCCCAGTGTTACCACTCTTATTTAATTTCATCATAGATATGCTTATGGACGTAACCTTTGCCAATTTCAAGGTCCCAGTTTGCTGTAAAGTATGCAGAGGAAGACGCTAGCAAAATGCAGTCTTTTGAACATCGTGAACAAAATTTGAGTGTGTTCGGTTTGAGATTCGTCCCCATCAAATGAAAGCGATGCGGGAGGAATGATCTGCACCAACTCCTGGTTCAAGGATAAGGACACGAAAGCTTCGTTTGGCATTTTCCTGCCTGTTTCGTCTTTGACACACGCATTATATCTGTCTATCCACCACCAATTAGCCCTGTTTCTCGTCACACAGCTATTTAAATTTGAAGATATTAAAAAAGAACCATTCTTGACCATACATGCTCTCGTTCAGTCTCCGTTGCGCAAAATTTTACGTTGATAAGTAAGCCATTTTTCGAAGGCAATGACTAGGTGCCAAGAAAAGGCATATTCACTGAAATCATTGAGGAGAGAATGTTTCAGACTGACGATTTAAATAATGGCACAGTACTTTAAATACATACACTATCTTACTTCGAGGACAGATTCAGTTACTAATGGTTTTCCGTTGCACAAAATTATGTAAGGTCTGCAAAACCTGCCACCATCACTAACAACATGAACACACTGATAGGCTTGTTTAATATAGACGGAAACGAAGCCATGGATTCGTCCAGAACGTCGAAGTCCTCTAATTAAAACACACAACTTTCCAGGATGTTGCGTAAATCCAATTGGTTTCCCATTGACATATATCACATACCTAGAATTCAAACAGCAAATAAACGATTTATACATACTTTCACAAATTTAGCTAATAGTGAAATAGATACCGAGGTGTTTGTAGTCAAATGTAGGAAATAGAAATATAATTGGGAAATGATTTTATTTTTGCTACGTAGCTATTTCCAACCGCATTTCGTGAGTGTGAGCAGTTATTATTCCGAATATTTTATGTTTCTTTACTAGGTTTCTGGTCCTCGGTCCATTCATGCAAGTCAGTGGGGTCTCATCTGTCCATCAGACACACCTGAAGGGGAAGCTTGTGGTCTTGTTAAAAATGTAGCACTCATGTGCCATGTGACCGTGGAAGTAGACGATGCAAATCTGATCGGGCTGATTAGCAACTACTACACATTTCCTCTATATCAGATGAAGTATTCCAAAAACGAGTAAGTCTGTTGGGTCTTCTCTATCTTTTCACAGTTATCACTACTCATATGTTGACCAATGTTGGGACTTCTTTTGTTTTTACCGCTGCATAAGTTTCTTTATTCGAGCTTAAGGATCATTTCATATGTCTCTGCCTGATGTTTTTATTTTGTCATGATGCATTATTGCCTGTGGGGTTTGACAACATGGTACGCTGGTAAACTTATTTAATTGAAAGTTTGGGGCATTCTTATCTTGTTATGCTATGTCACTAAGATACAAACTCCCTAGAATGGTTCCAGTTAAAATTCGGGTGTTTGAGTGCACTTCTTTATTAGTTGAGTGAAGAATGACAACTTATGTTTGCACATTTTCCATTTTACAGGATAAAGAGCTAAGTTGCATCTTTAAAGCGTTTCTATTACCTGGTGAATTGAATCAACTCTAAAGCAGGTTTTGGTGTCGAGATTCACATACAAAAGGCTATTTCGATCTTGGCATGTTTCCGTCATATTTGGCACCTGTAATATACCTGACTGCTAACAAAGCAGTGAATGAAATATATCAGTGATCTGAGCAAGATAAAATAGAATCAGTTTTTCTGTTTTTGTTCTCTTGCATACTTGTAGTCAGTGAAACATTTGACAGAAGCTTTCTCATCTTCATCTTTAGGAGACAGGAAATTATTAACACTGAGGTTGAAATTAGATGGAAAGATTTCTCTATCTTGTGGATCCTTAGTTTTGAATGCTTTTGGGAGAAGCTATTAGTGTTCTATTTGACTATTTGTCTGTTAATCCTGAAGATGTCTGTTAGGACACTTCTTTTACAGTGATTTTAACCCCTTTATTCGTCGGATTTTATTATCCAATCATAACGCTGATTTTGTGATCATTTTCATGACTTTTCAGGTAGATGCTTCGTTTTATTAGTCTGCTGTATGAAATCTTGGGTTTATTAATTTTGCTTTGCATATTTAAAAAATAACCTACATATGTAGGTGGTACAAATAGCATTATAACAAGATAAAATCATTTCCCTATTATATTTCTATTTCCTACATTTGACTACAAACACCTCGGTATCTATTTCACTATTAGCTAAATTTGTGAAAGTATGTATAAATCGTTTATTTGCTGTTTGAATTCTAGGTATGTGATATATGTCAATGGGAAACCAATTGGATTTACGCAACATCCTGGAAAGTTGTGTGTTTTAATTAGAGGACTTCGACGTTCTGGACGAATCCATGGCTTCGTTTCCGTCTATATTAAACAAGCCTATCAGTGTGTTCATGTTGTTAGTGATGGTGGCAGGTTTTGCAGACCTTACATAATTTTGTGCAACGGAAAACCATTAGTAACTGAATCTGTCCTCGAAGTAAGATAGTGTATGTATTTAAAGTACTGTGCCATTATTTAAATCGTCAGTCTGAAACATTCTCTCCTCAATGATTTCAGTGAATATGCCTTTTCTTGGCACCTAGTTATTGCCTTCGAAAAATGGCTTACTTATCAACGTAAAATTTTGCGCAACGGAGACTGAACGAGAGCATGTATGGTCAAGAATGGTTCTTTTTTAATATCTTCAAATTTAAATAGCTGTGTGACGAGAAACAGGGCTAATTGGTGGTGGATAGACAGATATAATGCGTGTGTCAAAGACGACACAGGCAGGAAAATGCCAAACGAAGCTTTCGTGTCCTTATCCTTGAACCAGGAGTTGGTGCAGATCATTCCTCCCGCATCGCTTTCATTTGATGGGGACGAATCTCAAACCGAACACACTCAAATTTTGTTCACGATGTTCAAAAGACTGCATTTTGCTAGCGTCTTCCTCTGCATACTTTACAGCAAACTGGGACCTTGAAATTGGCAAAGGTTACGTCCATAAGCATATCTATGATGAAATTAAATAAGAGTGGTAACACTGGGCATCCCTGACGGACATCATTGATTGCCGTCACTTCAAACAACAACTCTCCCCATAAGCTCTTACACGGTTGTATAAGCTCTATTAAATGCCATTGAAGTCCCTTATATTTCTGAGGTTCTCATTTCTCTTATGAGCCCATTTGGTCGGTGTGCATAACCTGTCACCGATGTCAGGCTATCTCATAATGACTATTGTTGTTACACTCAGATATTTGTCTAGTCATCTCCCTTGTTACAGAATTGATGCTCTTATCAAGAGGCTGGAGACGTTACGACTTCGTGACTGCTTATGTTTTACTTCCGTTTGGCGCTATGCGTAGACGTGTACGGACTAAAGCCTGGTAGGAATCCAAATTGGCGTTGCAGAAGGGGGTCTGCAATTTTCCACTCGACCCCTCCAATGACAAGTTATAGCTATGTGGTCTACCCATGGACACTGTTGGGTTGAATTTGGAATTCGCCAGGTTAAACAAAGTCCTTCCTTAAACAGAAAGATGTGCATATCTGAAGGTAGAATTTCCACGCTTAGACAATAAAGTTGTCTGCTTTTGGGAAATTTTCTATTTTGGTGTTTGCAGTCGGCAATGGATCATGGTTACTGAGCAACTGCAGATTAGATGCTAGGTGTATTATTCAGAGGTTCAGCACGCATCGTTAAGTTATTTCGGACGGCACGAACTATGCTAACAACCGCACTCTTGTGCTACCTGGCAATGAACCACGGTGGTTCAACTAGATACCATTGAGAATAGGGACCGACGGTATAGAAGAGTATCAAACTGGTGCCTCTTGTGGAATATGTGTAAGGCCTGAAGAAGACCTAAGATGCTGAAGTTTCATGTTGCTCCACGCAACCACTGAGGATGATGCTGGTCTTAAAATTTTTTACTTGTTTTACTTGAGTGATTTAATAGCTTGCAAAATTTGTTTTCAATTGGTCTAGTGGCTTTCATGTTTTTATTTGTAGGATCTGCGCCTTAATGTTCTAAACTGGGATGACTTGTTGAGAAGGGGTTTAGTTGAATATCTTGATGTGAATGAACTCAACGACTGTTTGGTCGCTATGAATGAATCCTGTTTATTAGATGGCAATCATTACACTCATATGGAAATTGACCCAGCTACTATTCTTGGCGTCGTTGCTGGTCTGATTCCGTATCCCGATCACAATCAAGTAATTTTATGCTAAGTTTATTTTGTAATACTTGTTGATTGATTTGCATCTGACCGAAACACTCGGTCTCTGTCGCCATGCCGATACCTAAAGGTTAATATGATGTTATCTAGTTGATGGTGGGGGACATAATACAATCCATAATGCACATTCCTTTTTATCTGGGGCTCCTCAAATGGAAGCGCCTGCATCCCCAGCGAGAGAGGACATTCCGTTAGTGTTAGCTTTTGAGTCTAAGTCGATGGGTATTGGGCTCGTGTCACAGTGGGAACGCCATCTTTCACTGCAGTTACTGATCAATCTAACTAACGACTATCAAATATTACAAATTGCACTGGTTAACATCAACCAATTAGCATCAAGTAATTTCTTTCATTTCAAAGCTGCTTATGCTTGCCAATCTTAGTGTTTTAGGTCAGCTGGAAGAACTTCCAATAACTTTCTCATCAATTAGAAAATTATAATAATTTAGAGGCAAAGTGAGGCTATTTAGAGAAGTTGCTCAAAATAGAAGGGACTGCATTTTATGAACTAGATAGAATAAGGATTTGTCTATTCTAAGGGGTTCGAAATCGTTCAAACTGATGTCAATTTGTCATAGAAAATGAAACATAATTATTGCTAAGAATTTATTGGCCGTCTAGTGAATTTTTAGATCACCCTTGATTAATGATTTGTCTGTAAATGTGCCATATTCAAACTATCTAGGTCATATGTTTGTAGATGGATGATAACTTATTAACTGTGGAAAGCGAATTCACAATTTATGTACTGCTGATTAGTTCTGTATTGTGACATAAATTTATCAGGAGCATTCTTGAGTAATACAGTTTTTCTTGACCAACTGTCTCTCGGTCACTATCAACAAGTGTGACCATTTAGTCAATTAGTTTGATTTAATTCTAACTTTATCTATCCAACAACCAGTCCGTGCAACTAGTAATACAACCATTTCCAACGGTCATAACTCAGTGAAAGCACTGACGACACAAAATTTAAATTCCTGTAATTCTGAAGTAAAATTTACATTACCATTCCTGTGATGATGATTGTTGTGTTGTAGGTTAATATTAGTAAGTTTATAATTGTAAAGCCTGAGGAAGGTCATTGAAAAATTAAAACAATTACTACTAGAGATTCCTTGCTTTCTCGCATGACATTTCTTGTGTCTGGTTTTGGACAAAGCTTATTTAGGACATGCATTGAAATGATGGCAATGATAACATTGTTTAATTGAAGACAGCTACTCACTTCATTGGTTTTCGTTTATTTTCGTAGTACTTTTTGTACACCAGTGCTAATCGCACAAATAAGGTAAACATTTTCAACCAAAATTTTGTCAGCTGTATTTGTGATATGCTTGTAGTTCTTCAACATATATTTTGTAAACAATTATTTAGACATTACTGCTCCAATTAGATTGATACTGATGAACCAATCGTATTTTAAGAAACCATAAGGACCTTATTTTATTTGAAATGTTGAGCGTTATTCGATAAGCAACCTTTATATTTGGAGACTTCAATTGTTTACTGATAATTGTATAACTGCACCATGAATGTCATGATTGTTAAGTTTAGAACAATACATTCAAGCGAACTATATTGTTTTCATTACGTTTGCTGTACTTTCCTCTTCACCTTTATATTTTTCGAGTTGTGATCTGGTAACAGTTTTCACCTTGTGAAATTTCAAACCTTTACTCCTGTTATTTTGTTGATTATCAAGTGAGTTTTTCTTATCTTCAGAAGTCACTTCTCGATAATTGTATCTATGAGGTCTCTCCTCCCCGCTATTCAATAATAGACTTCTATATGTTTTAGTGAACATAAATGCGGTTGTACAGCCTCTGAATTGGACCTATCGTTTAAAGAAAATCATTCCCACTATATTGTCTTTGGTTTTCTTCACCGCTCAATGGATATTTTCGGTATATGTATTTATATATTGTAGTCTCCTCGAAACACCTATCAGTGCGCTATGGGAAAACAAGCTATTGGCACCGTTGCACTTAATCAACAGATCCGTTTCGACACATTACAGTGTCAGATGGTTTACCCCCAAAAACCGTTAGTTCAGTCGAAAACTATTCAGATGATGCATTTTGATGAGGTGAGTTTGTTGTAAAGTGTTCTGAAGTCTTTGCTAGTTGTTTCTGATGTTTCCAAACTATACTGAATCAGACTTACGGTTGTTACCAAAATGGAATACTGTTTTCAAATAGCGAGGGGATAACACATTCCCCTTTTTTAAAGGCTCAATATACATCAGAATATTATAAAAGTATATTAGCTTAAATGCACATTAATGGGTTTTTCAGGAACTTTGTAAACATTTGTCACACGAATTATATCTATGTCGCTGTTCGATTTTCTTAGATGCTAAGATGCCTTTGCTGATATATTATATTTTTGTAGCTGTAAAACCTAACTTTAATTCGTTTATCTGTTTTCTAAAATTCATCTTATTTAGTCCTATTTCTGTCGTGTTATCCTCCACTTTGTACGTTGTTTTGAAGTGTAAAAACATGTAATGATATGCTTTGGTGAAAAGTTGTACATTGTTTTGTCTGTGGAGTAAACTTAAAGGAAGTACATTGCTATTGAGAACCGTTACCTGTCAGTACAATTATCAAGCAGCATGAGTGGTCGGCCTAGATAAACGTTACTGCCAATTCATTTTGGTTACTACTCATTCATTTAGCATAATTTATGTAGTTGTCTAATGAAGTCAAAAGTGAATAAAATGAATATGACATTGGCAAAATGCGCTCTAGAAAAACTCTAGTATGTCAAAAGATCTCCAACAAAAATGAAGCCTCGACAACATTTAAGAAGAGACTCCTGGAAAGATAGGTAGGGAATCAGATGAATTATACAATTCATCTACATCTTCACTCCAGTCGCCCATTTCATGAGGCCTTACCTAGATGGAAGTTAGGGATCCTTCTTCAAACTACAGCTGAGATCGCGAATGCTATTCGCAATATAAAACACGATAAAGCGGCAAGATTTAGTGGTGTTTAGGTATAACGGCGCGTTGAATTGCAGTTTTATCCGCACATGACTTTCTTTTCCTGAATCCAGCTTATTTTAGGTAGAGTTTTGCACCCAGTGCAATTTTTAGACTCTCAAGGACGACGCGACTTAATGTTTTACTTGGTATGGGCAGGCGCATGATTCCGCGCCGGTTTTTGTAAAAGCCTTCTTCTGTAGTTGGACAAGGTGGCCTTCCTTCCAAACAGTAGGTACATTTCCCTCCAAACATTTTGCAGTAGTGGCGTGAGCACATCCCCTGCAGTGTCCGGATCATCACCGAAGAGAGCATAGAATAGCAGTCACATCTCTACCTCAACTCTATCGACTTTGTGAAAACCTTCAACAGCGTTGACGGCGAAGAGTTTTAGAAACTATTTCGACACTGTGGAGTGCCCCAAATCTTCACCAACCGCATTCAAAAGCTGTATGACAATGCTACATGTCAAGTAATCCTCAATGGAAGACCCAGTGAAGACTTTGAAGTGAATGAATGAGTAAGACAAGACTGCCTAACATCACCGATGGTATGCGGCAACAATCACTATCAACGGGTGAAATCTGAAAGAGACCACTTCCTTGAATTATCTAGGCAGCGCCGTTCCAGCTACAGGTGGAACGTATGAGGAGGATGTCAAACCAGAATCGGAAAGACAAGACAGACATTCGTCAGTCTGAAATCAGTTTGGAAATCTCCTGCACTAAGTATAAAGAACGAAATTGAGATCTTCAACACCAATATTGAGTCAGTCAGTTCTTCTATATGAGCCGGAAATGTGGCGAATGCGTTACGAAAAGCGTTCCCAACGGGTTGCAGACTTTTATAAATGGCTGCCTTCGCTTTATATTGGAGATAAGATGACTGGAAAGAATTGGCAACAAGAAACTTTGGGAACTAACAAACCAAGAGGCCATTGCCCAACAAATATGCTTAAGGAAATGGAGATGGGTCGAACACAAGATGAGGGACAGTTTGGTGACGTCGCACACCAGGTCCGAGATGGACATGGAGAGCATCGTGTGATGAGGAGTTGAAAGTCTATGGTCGATCATGAGGCTAACAGAAGAGGACTGTGGAGAACAGGATGAGGCGGAGATGAGCTGTTGAAACCCTATGTTCCACTCGGAAGCTGAAGGAATAATATAAATAATAATTTAGACAGTCCTTGGGCTGAAGTGTTTGTGATAGAGATTTAATTCTCAACCCACACTGGAATGCAGAAAATAGGTTTTGGCGTTCGATTTGGGCGGAGTTGCGTAGAACCACTAGTCGCGTGATAAGAGGAACATGAGTGTAACCGGAAGAACCGAACTGCAAACACAATGTCCCGTTATATCACGTGATACATTCGTATAAAATGACAGTTTGGCGATGATAAAGACTGAAGCTGGTACACCAAGAGTAACATGAGCCCTTGCCTTTGTTTGTTGTGGTTAGTTGTAGAATAAGTTACATGCGTGTGCATATAGTACACACCGGTAAAAACTTGATTAACTCGTGAATCGGCCCTCTAGATTGATACTGAATAATAAATAGTGATATGATACAAAAAACAATTAAGAGCATTTAGCCAACGATTTGATTTTTCTTACTTGACAGAGTAATCTTGTTCGATTTACATGAGATCACCGGACCGTGGGATGATGAACTGGTACCTCTGCTATCGTTGTAAGTTGCAGCATCTGCAGATGAGCCTCTAGAGCATGCATTTCTCCTAATTTCTTCTCTTGATTTGTGTGCTACATGGAGTGTGGCGACTTGAACTGCCGCACATATGTGCAAAGTTCTATGTCGAAAACCGACCCGACCGACCGAGAGCATGTGTTTACACGACGAGTAGGATAAATACTAACTTATATCTTTGATCAATTCTTGTTACGGTAGTCAGCATGTGGGATAGATGCAACAGACTTATCAGAATGATGGAGATCTCGATTGCTAGGCCAAAGAATCGTGTAACGGAAGGACTGGGTTGTTATTCCACAGTTAAACTGACAAGATAGGTGAGAAGTGGCTTCAGTTCAAACTTGCACATAATCCTTAATCATTCACGCAGGAGACGAAATGGATATGATAGTTTGTGGCGATGGTGATAGAGATACAAATTTCACGAAAGCCCACCAATGAATATGACCCATCCTTTTCTGTCTTAATTATCATGTGATTGTTGGTTATCTTAATGTGAACTTCCATCCCGTGAGGTTGACTTTGTATGAATGTTATATTTTACCTTATATGTATGAAAATATAATTCATTGACTATTTTGTCGTACACACCAGTACCGTTTGGTAAACTTGTGCCCCCCCTCCCCCCTTGAACGACGGTTGCCTTTGTATGGCTGTTAGTGTTGTTGTTGGTCTCTGTCTTCAGTATTGTTAATGAGGAGTAGAATCTGAAGGTAGATTTGATCTCACAGCTTACTGCATTAGATAACCAGGAGAGGTGATGATGCGTTCAAAAATACCATTGGCATATGTGCTTGACCATTTTGTGCGATGTGACCCCAATAACTCATGATTGTTGCAGCATTACAATGCTTATGATAGTGCATACCAATACTGTAAATTTTGAAACTAATCATGCTGACGGGGTGTTTCTAGGCGCAAATGTTCATTAGTCATAGGGTTTTAGGCTGAAAATGTGACTAGAAATACGATATCTTCATTTTGGTCAAGTGACCTGAACACAGGACGAGTTTTGTGTTATTCATTTAAAATAAATCCAAATTAACTATCGCTTGGTAAAGGTGCCAGCAGGGTATCATTATAGTCTTGAGTTACTTCCATGGTATATAGCACTAACACGATTGTTGATGAGGTGTTGCACTTGGAAGCTGTTGAAGCCCTATGTTCCACATTCTAAGTTGAAGGATTAATAATAAGTATAATGGTAGCAAATCAATGACTAGATTCGGCCTAATGTAGGTGGAATTTTGTGGATTACTGTTTTCTTATATTCCGTTAAAATAATATACAGTTTTATTCATATGGGCTGTTTGGTTAGTTCCTGCACAGGTAACTTTTGGTTTTTATCGATGTATTTCTATCTAGCTTCCCGCTGGGCAAAATGCTATTGTGGCAATAATGTCTTATTCTGGATATGATGTAGAAGACGCGCTAATCATAAACCAAGCATCTATTGATCGTGGTTTCGCTCGCGCTTGTGTCTATCGTCGTTCTGGTGTTCATCTGAAGATGCATGAAAATGCAGTTTACGATCGTTTAATGGGTCCTAGCATAGAACGTGGTAAGCACATGGTCCAACTTTTTACGTAGTAACATGCCATTGCACCGATATTTTCTCAGTAAAAACTAATTTTCATTTTTATCCAACAGTTTTTGTCAGCTTCTGTCGCACTTTAATTCAATCTATAACCCAGGTGAAGTGTACTGTATTAGCTTTTTCTTTGACTTTTCATTCGAAACTGTAAGCTATCTTACTATTTTACTTGCATCTACTTAAGGTAATTAATTACTGTTTTTCGCCAAATAACCGTTGTTTCTTCAAAATTTCGGGCTGAGAAATTATTTTTATCTATCATATCTCTTTCTTGAAGAACTCTTGATAACAAACACTTTCTTGTGAAGTTATTTGTTTTCTATGGGTAGGTTATGTGTGATAAACCCCTACTTGATTTTCCTAACAATGAATATAAGTCTCATGTTATAGTTTAAAAATGAATTCTATATATTTTGTTTTTTTAGATTATTTTTTAAATAGCTGTCATTTAATCTCGTCCAGTTCAGTAGTTTACTTACCCGTTCTGAACCCAAAATGAGAGGAAAGAGTGTGCGTGGGGATAGTGACCCCTAACCAGGAAAATTGACCTATTCTCAACAGGAAACTCAGAGCACAGAAAAGTACTAAAACAAAAACTTTTTCGCTGGAATCAGAGAAATATGCTAACGAAAGCCTTCAGGAGGTCAGTCAACCGATTTATCTTCTTTCTAAGTAAGCGAGAATAAGCATGGGGACATGGAATGTCCATACGATATTTAAAGCTGGGGAAGACGGCTTATATTGAAAAAGAGACGAGAAAACATGGTATAGAAGTAATAAGGATGTGGGAGAGTGACTGTCGTGATGTCACCAGCAGCACTAAAGCTATCATGTGGTCCTCTGCAGAAAAACGAAAACAAGATTCGACTCAGAAAGAGGAAAAAACACCAATAGCCATCAACGAGAAAAATCAAGGTAGTATCGTTTCAACTGCAGATGGCACATATAAAATATCAAAAGCAGAATCGCAAAAGCAAGGCCTTCATTACTCTGAAATCTAATTCACTCAGCATGAGGAAGAAGATTCGTATTTTAGACACTAATACCAAACCAGCGCTTCTATTTAATTTAAAGAATTGGCGCGTCACGAAGAGTATTTCCAACAGGATGCAAACTTTTATTAACAGCTGCGTTGGCTGCATACTGTAGATCAGATGGTCAGAAAGAATCAGCAACATGAAACTATGTGAAGGAGCCAACCAAGAACTTATCACCCAACAAATATGCAGAATGGAATGTAGACGGATTGAACATACCCCGAAAAGACCGTGACACCAGGCCTTCGGGCGGTCATTGGAAGATGACATGGAGATAATGTAAAGATGAAAAGAAGGCTAGTAGGTGATGGTGGAGTCAAATTAAAAAGACTGTAGAGAACAGAATGAAATAGTGATGCGCTACTGAAGCCCTGTGTTCCACTTGAAGCCCAAAGAAACAATAAGAGTAATCACTCGATGTGTCGTCGATTCAAAGGTAGGACGCTATCCAACCTACCACGTGGTCTGGTTCCCGTTCCCTCTCAATGTACTCCTAATTCGCGCCTAGCCAGTAGTGAGCTCCGAAAATAAAGGAAGGTTGGGCGTAAAACTAATAACCGCACTCCGTAAAACAAAACCATACTTCGACCACACCTTCGAAGCTTGATGTCCTATGTTCCACTCTGAAGGTAAGGAGTGAAAAAAGGTACCACTCGCTATCTTATCCTGACTTTCAACATTTAAATCATAAAGAATACTCGGTCAAATGTCTCAAAATTAATGCTTACAGTGATCTCTGTGAGTGCACAGTTTAGTTCAATCATTTGTACCACTGGAGAATCATATTCTGATCAGGTCAAACCTCGAATACTTCTTATTAATCCTTATACATGACCGCAAGTTCATTCTTCTATTGTGTAATCGTATTTCACATTTATGTTTTGCTTTTCGAGATACTGGAGTGTTACGTCGTGGAGATGAAGTCCTTCAGGCAGATGGAGTTGCATTTGTTGGTGCCTGTGTCTATGACCGTCAAATCCTAATAAATAAAGAAATGCCGGTGATTAGTCCAAGTTCCACAGTAGATAATTCTGGATCACTTAGTTTAAACATGAATACTCCTGCAAACTCGGTAAGTTGTGATTTGATAAATGGTGGGACAGTTTCTTTCATGGTTGATAGTCGTCTTACAAGCGGCATTTTTTTACTCAATGTGTTTTTAAAATGACATTTAATTCAAAATTCATGGTCTACAGTAAATTTCGGTTTTTTCTAATTATATTTTTAGTAATTCCTTCACGTTCCCAGTGGAACATAGGGCTTCAAGCTAGAGGCTTGAAGTTTCATACCGAACTTTTTCTCTTTGCCAGCTTTATTACTGGCTCAGCGAGGTAAAGGTGTGCGTCGGCCGGGGATTGCACCCCGGACCATGTGCATTGCCGGCGAGCGCCCTAACCTCTGTGCCACCGACGCACAAATTCTGGTTTAGATAGACTTAAAACCAAATATAAGATTAAAATCTGGTAACAAATAAAGGTGGATTTGGACTGACCTTTAGAAGTGTGACTATATTACGAATTCGGGCACGTAAATACATCCCATAGTTAAGACATTTTGGTCTGAAACATTATGTGGCAGTTCATGAGAAGAATTAATTTTCTGGATTTTCGTCTAGTCTTAATCAAAATAAACTTTATAACCATTCTAAGAAAATTACCGAAGAGACGATAATTAGATTTCTTTATTTCCAGAGATATATTCATTCCATTGTTGTGATTAATTAGCAATACACGTTGTTGGCTCTCATGCAGTCAACAGATAAGTTTGTATTTTTTCAAGGAAGATTCTTTTAGAAGAAAACACATACAACTTACAAGTAAGCATATATGTACATGTTTGAGTCTTTTTATTAAACTCGTTATTGGCCCGGAAGAATGCGAAGCAGCAAAAAGTGAAATCAAAACAAACAACCAATGGTAAAAAGTAGGATATTAATGCATTCATCAAATTTTGGTAGGACTCATCAACTAAGCACGCCATGTAAACTACAAGAAAAACTTTAGGATAATATATGGAGAACAAACAAATCACATGGAATCAGTTATAGCAAAACAAGTGGTGATTGTCGTACAGACCAATCTTTAGCGAACGATTTTAGAAACGCAGACACCAAGTGGGTATTGCTCTGGTTAAACGGACAGGAATCAAGACATAATACACTCAACTCAAGATGTGAGAGATAGAGTGCCATATTACTGTAGTAGCCTAAGCACAATATATACCAAAAAATGTTTTTCACGTAAAACACCCTCAGGTATGCGGAAGCTTTTTAACGAAATTACTGATGGTAAACAGCATTATTGTCCCTTTATTGACGCAAATACTCTTATTAAGTCTTTCATACGCTTGTCAGCTGATGTTATCATTCCCAATGTTACAAGTAACAAGAATGGAAACTTTCACGGCTTTAATACGCTTGATTTTCGCAAATGTCTCCAATCCCTGAAACCAGGATATGTTATGTTATTCTACTACGAACATTTTTAATGCTTCTTTTTTCATTTATGTTGTACCCGTCATTTGAAAAGACAACAGTTTTACTGATACCTGGGTTATTGAAATAATAGAGATTTGTAGCTCAGGTGGATGATTTGCAATTAGTAGTGTTCTCTGAGCTGGTTGGTTTAGTTGCGAAGCTTTCGTCGTCCTTTTGGACAACATCTTCAGCACCATATTTAGCATAAAGTGAAATGATTTAAATTTCTTCATGAGTGATATAATTGCGTCTCCTGGTAACTATCTTTATATATGTATTCACCATTTTCTATTGACTTGGATTTTAAACTTTCTGGTCACCTGATTTACTTTTTATTAGTTGGTATATTTCGTCTAAATTAACGTGCTTGTTAATTGCATTTTCGTTTGAATGCCAGGCTTCTAGGAATTCCCTGGCACTTTTAGTGTTTCCTCTGTCTAAGATTTTTACATTATCCCAATCAAATTGATGACCGTAATTGTCTATATGTAGTGATACTAAGGAATACATATCGTGTCTTTTCACGGCTGATTTGTGTTCTTGGATTCTGATTCGAAGGGGACGCCCACTTTGGCCGATGTAATGCTTGTTGCAGTTCATACAATTTATTTTGTAAATAGTACTAATTTTATCCCCTTTTGGTTGCATCTGCCGGATCTTTTGGTTTCCAAACCAATCCAAGTCAAGAGAAAATGGTCAATACATATGTAAAGATAGTTACCAGGAGACGCAATTATATCACTCATGAAGAAATTTAAATCATTTCACTTTGTGCAAAATATGGTGCTGAAGATGTTGTCCAGAAGGACGACGAAAGCTTCGCAACTAAACCAACCAGCTCAGAGAACACTATTAAATGCAAACCTGGGTTATTTACTGGTGCAGATGTTAAATTTAGAACTATTGCAATTACACCTTTTTGGAATTAAATGGGAAAATTATTTTTACCTAGTCTTGAAAAATTTTAATGGCTGTAGATAATTTGCATATAAACACAGCAGATGTACAGTTACGTCCCCAACTAGATCGAGACACTGAGTCCTTACATAAGGAAGAAATAGCGAAACGAGTTTCTGAGGTCGACAGCAGGACTTCCCCCGAGGTAGCCTGGCACAACATACAGTTAGCTGTAGACACAGCTGTGAAAGCTGTTAATAAGCTAAAACCTAAAGTTAATAAAAGCCATTGGATCTCTACCGCCTCATCCGAACTGATTGACGCAAGAAGACTGATTCCAGCGAGCTCCGATTATGATGAGGAGCGAAAGGTACTCAAATGCGAAATAACAAGAAGTCTTCGTAACGACCGTGAACAGTGGTGGGCGACAAAAGCGAAAGAGATGGAACGGCGATTGGCAACACCAGACAACTATTCAGGCATATCAGGGAAACAGGTGGCAAAAGGCAAATGATAAGCGAAACAATCTCGGGGAAAAATGGCACCATAATTAGCTCCCAGGATAGACGATTGGAACGCTGGAAAGAACACTATGAGAAACAGTTTAATTGGCCTACAGCATCACTTAACCTGCCGAACATCCAACACCTCCCTGAATGGGATATAGACACAGGTCCTCCGTCCTTAACTGAGGTTACTAAAGCTGTCACTAATCTGAAGCAAGGCAAAGCAGCGGGACCTGATGGAATGACTCCAGAGGTATTTAAGTACGGTGGAGACAGTTTACTGTCTGCGTTAACTAAGGTATTAGGCAGCGTCTGGGAATCAGAGGAAGTCCCATCGGGTTGGTGTAAGTCACTGATCATCCCGATATACAAGAAGGGAGAGAAGTCTTCTTGTGATAATCACAGAGGTATCTAAAATCCTAGGCTCAATAATCATGCGTAGACTAAGTGGTGCTCGGGAGGCACAAACACGAGAAAACCAGGCAGATTTTAGGCCAGGAAGAGGGTGTATTGATCATATCTTCACCCTTCGACAGATTCTAGAACATAGGCATTCCTACCGGCGTCCAACAATCATTATATTTCTTGACCTAAAGGCGGAATTCGATTCTGTCGACCGAGAGGTTCTCTGGCGATGCTTGGCTGTAAAGGGAATCCCGAGAAAATACATTGCTTCATGCAATTCTTCCCATTAATAAACTTGAACAAGGCAAGAACAACAATTGTACCAGGATAATATGAGCTCATTTTTTATTATTTCGAGGATTCTTCTCAACTGGTTACAACCTGAACGATGAAAAATATGAATTACATTACATTAAAGATTTGAACATAATTTTCCACGATCACAAGGAGTAATTGGTAGGAAGTAAAAGTAGCATTAGTCCGGAATGATTTAACTAATTAAGAGTTACAAACGCTGACTATTTATAGAATAATTCAAATGAACTGTGATCAATATTTGACAGTTTATAAATATTTATAGAATAATTAGGCAATTAGGCTTGGAAACAAAAACAAGCTCTTGTATATATATATATATATATTTTTTTTTTTGTCACCAAGGCAGTGCAAGATTCACCACTGTCTCTTTCTGCGTACATAGATTTGGTTTCAGTCGTCTGATAGCAATTGCTTCAGCAAAGCGTAGCAAGTTAGGTTTCTTTTGCTTGTTGATTATTTTGAATGACTTCAAGTTGTCTACATTATGACCAGTGTCTAATAGATGACGCGCAATTGCACTGTTTAATACTTGTGGACCTTTCAGTCTCAGGTTCTTTGGTATGTGTTCAGAAATGCGGACAATAACCCTTCTCTCTGTTCTTCCGATGCAGGTGCTTTGGCACGTACATGTAAATTGGTAGACACAGTTGGAGGTAACATGAGGTGGGTATTTGTCCACTTTTGATTGTCTCAAACAACTAGTTGTTTGATAAACACATACAAGCTTGGCGGCTGGATATGTTCTTTTCAGGGCAGTGTTCAGTCTGCATCTTATTCTACTGGCAATATCATCACCTTTGAATGCAAGCTGCAGAAAGATAGGCTTTTTCTCTACTGTGCTGATTTTCACTTTTTCAACATGACGTCTTCCATACTTGTCAATGAACTTTTGTGGGTAACCGTTGTCGCGTAGGCATTTCTCCACAATGGATAGCTCTTCCTCAATCTTTTCTTCTGAACACAGCTTCCTTACACGATCAAATAATGTTCTCACCAATCCTTTTTTGTAACTTATAGGGCAGAAACTTTTGAAGTTAAGATAAACCGCCCTCCAGGTCTCTTTTCTGTGTATATATCTTATGATTTTGCCGTCTATATCTCGTTGGATACCTAGGTCAAGAAAATGGAACTTCTCCTCTTTTTCATGCTCCATTGTAAACTTGATATTTGGATGAGCGCTGTTCAAGACTTCTAGTACTTGAGATGCATCATCAAAAGAATTACAAATAACGAAAGTGTCGTCGACATACCTGGTATAGAAATCGGTCTGACTGACTGCGGATTTCAGCCTTGTTTGTTCCAGACTACCCATAAATAAATACATTGCACTGATTAAGGCACTCTACTCGAACTCATGCAGCCAGGTGAGGGCTTACGGCGAGTTGTCATCTGTAGTGGTGTCCATCAGGAATGCCCATTATCCCCATTTCTATTCAATTTCATCACAGATGTACTAATGGACTTAACCCTAACTCACTTCAGGGACTCAGGGATTGACTTGCTACCAGGGAATAATCTCGTTGACTTAGAATATGCGGACGATATAGTCCTTCCAGGCGAGGACGCTGACAAAATGCAGAGTCTTCTGAACACCTTGAGTAGCGAACTGTCTTCGAATGGTCATCATGCGATTCGCTCCCACCAAATGCAAGATGATGTTACAGGATTGGACTACACCGACCCCTGGACTAGAAATAGGAAGTGAAGTGGTAGAGCACGTTGACCGCTTCACTTATTTGGGAAGTACCATCACCCCCAACGGGTTGATCTCTGAAGAAATCTCAGTACGGAAACAGAGGGCTAGTTTCGCATATGCCAGTTTACGCCATCTCTGGCGACTTGAACTGCCGCACATATGTGCAAAGTTCTATGTCGAAAACCGACCGACCGAGATGTACTTTAGATGCTCCAGCTGTCTTGCATCATAATATTATTTCCTGTTTAGAAAAAGGTGCAAATTATGTTCGATGTGCCTTCCTAGATCAAGCATCTGCTTTTGACTTAATTGTCTTTTTGCTTTTCTTAACACAAACCTAGTTTTAGATTGATAACTGATTTCATTCTTATTTCTCTGGCGGAATGCAGTATGTTGTATACAAAGGTAAGTCTTTCTCCGCCTTGCTTAGTGAAGCCGGCATCTCAAGAGGGTGTTCTCCCTCTTATTTTTTTCCCTACACGACTTTCCTCTTTCGGACGAAGCTAACATTTTTAAATATGCAGATGATCTGACTGTCTCGTTGGCAGTTACTTTCCTATCTGACAGTTCCAAACTGAATAGCTTTTACTTGAACATCAACTGGTGGTCTAGGTTAAATCCTTCCAGATGTTAGGCAATTTACTCTTGCATCTTATATGTTGTTTTTTATTACTCTCCCTTCGTCTCCAAAAAGGACTGGGACATATTGAGAAGGGTAATAAAGGCTGTCAGTAAGGCAGGTGGTGAGCCACTAAATCAGCTTGTTACTATTGTAGTCGACAGACATTTTAACTCATGCAAGAAATGGGTAAAAACCATAGTCTCTGACTCTCAGCACCTCTTATTTCACAACTCACCCCTTGCATCTCACCAAATAGAACTAGAAGTCATTATATGCTCTCACAACTAAGTACAAAAGCCTAACGGTACCCTACTTGGTCCTCATTCTATGTGATTGACAAAGTGTTAATCGTGAAACTTATAAGTTACTAGGTAATTAGCAAAATAGGTGGCTCTTTGATCTCCTATTTTTAATTTATAGTGGCATTATTTCTGTAATTTCATTTATTATCATCATTTTATGCTTTTGCACATTTTCGACTTTATTGTTGCAGTAAACACCAAAGAGTTACCATTATCAATTTTTTTACCTATTACATATAATCTTTTTTGAATAAATTAGATGCGATGTCACACCGAATACCCTGAATTCCATGATTATTATCGTGGCCCTCTCGTACAATTTCGTGCCGTGTCTGTTCATAATGAATAAAATCCCAGTATTGCTCTCTGTCTTTAAGCAGTGTAGTATACGCAAAGATTTCATTTATTTGCCTTTATATTTGACACAATATGCGGTGTATTTTTAGGTCATTCGATAGTCAAAAACTTAAGCCTTATTCACCGAGATATATTCCATCGGTTTATATTAAATTTCACGTTGATTTTCTGTGATCGGGACCTGATTACAATGCAATCCGTCAAACCCCATAGCTCTATTCCTAAATTTGTTTGATTTCTGTTGAGTCTATCGAATTTAGTCCTTATTACTACTATTCTATTCACTCATTGTAACATACATCTGCTTTCTTTGAAATATTTTCTCTATTATTTTGGTTACCTAAAGTATACTTTTAATTGCCGTTTAGTTATATAGCTCCCTTCCTATGCACTTTGAGTCATTACTAACGAATTCAGATTTTCCTACAAATGATTGTCCAGGATTTTTTATTACTGCTAATATTACATTGTAAAATTTTGTTTTACTTTGATTTTACTTTTGTGAGTATCAAGCAGCAGAAGGCTTTTTAAAATCAAATGTATTAAATATAATTTTTATCTTAGGTATGATCAACTTTTCATGCATTATATCTACTTTATTACGTTTTGTTGTGTTTGCTTTCCTCCAGACTGAATTCAGACGTTGTCCTGTCGACTACAAAGGAATTGAACCATCTTATGTTGAGAAAGTTTTATTCTCTACATCAGAAGGCAACCAAGCTGTAGTCAAAGTATTATTGCGTCAGACTAGAAGACCTGAAGTTGGAGATAAGTTCTCCAGTCGACATGGACAGAAAGGAGTTGTAGGACTTATTGTACGTCAAGAAGACCTACCTTTCTCAATGAATGGTCTTACGCCCGATATTATAATGAATCCACATGGATTTCCTAGTAGAATGACAGTAAGTGTATGTTTGTTCGTGTGTATCATCCCTAGGGTTATTTATATCTCTTTCCTATGATTTTGAATGCAAGTTTCAATTTTTTTGAGGAAACTAATTCCTATGAATTGTATGTACGTTATATCATACATTATGATAGGTCTGTATAGTCCAGTATGTTGAAGGTGTGTCGATGTGTTATTTTAGGGTTAATATTGATTGAAGCATTCTCAGTGTCTTTTAATCACAGTTTTAAGTGGCAGTACTTTCAAGGCTACAATTGTTTTACCCATTATTGTGGCATATGCTACTGGCAAGATTTACCAGTAGTATATAAGGGTAGGTTCAAATATCGGAGAGATAGAATTGACATCAAAGTGAGGAAATAAATCTGTATTGTGGCAAAATATCGGAGACACAAAAAGAGGACGAGGAAACGCAATACAAAGGACAGAAGTATCGCAACACGGAAGATCTGTGCAAATGACGATTCTAATATATGGTACACATAATTCCCCTATACGTGTATATCAAATTCCCAATAGACATTCCGTTAACAAGTCTCTTGTCTTCTCCCGTTACAGTATTACTTAACAGCCAGCGGTAGTTAGATACTTACTTTGTAACAGCTGCTGATACGACGTCACTGAGGGTAGAATTGAATTATTGGCGTACTTGTTAAAATTTGAGTGCTCATTTCGGTGGGCTATACTGCTAACAGATACAGTGTTATACGTTGGAACGTGGTAGATAATTTATCGTGTAGATTCTCCCTTAAGTTTCTGTACTCAATTTTCCAACTTAGCTGAAACACCAATTATTTCTTCAAGGTAGGAAAACTGTTAGAAGTTCTGGGGAGCAAAGCTGGAGCGATCGAAGGAAAAGTTCGAGATGGTTCAGCGTTCTCAGGTGACCCCGCAGAAATTCTGTCTGATGTCTTGGTTAGCCATGGATACCATTACCTTGGCAAAGAGATTTTGTATTCTGGAGTTACTGGGGCACCACTTGAAGCATTTATTTACTTTGGTCCCGTTTATTATCAACGATTAAAGCATATGGTTATGGATAAAGTAAGTGTTTATTTAGTGAATATTTCAACTTCTATCTATTTTCGTGCCAAGTTTCTTATTCTTGTGACCAGATGTTTTTAGTCAAAACTCAATAAATAGTATGATTTGAAGCTTTTCATAATAAATCCAGATACTTTATCAAGTGGTAACAATATCTTTTACCAATATACAACCTTTGAGACGTGTGCTAACCTTCCTCAGATGGTGAATGCCTGGAAATTTGAAAAGATAAAGAATACACTGTCTAAAATGCGGATATACTGATATATCTTGCTCATAAAGAATATACTTTTTCCAACCTATAATTTCAATTGTAAACGTATCACATATTTCATTCATTAAAAACTTGCTACCATTCCCATTATTAATCCTGAACCAAGCAAAAAAGACTAATGCACCGGGGTAATATGAGCTTTCAAATGTATAAAAGGTATGCAGATGACACCTTTATTATTTGTAATAGTGATTGTAATTTGAATAATAATATTATAGGTTTCCAGGCCGTAGGTGTTACGAACTTCCTGGAATAATTTGAGCGCCGAGTCAGATTGATTCATTATAAATTGTTTAAATTAATCCCAGCGTGTTAAGAAAATCAAAACAAGATATTTCTGAACGTTTCGCTGTGTAAGCCGCAGATTCTTCAGCAGATTTATTCGGATTTTTATTAATAATCAAAATATATAGTCAAAAATTTTACATAAATTGAAATCAGTTTATTTGAAGGTCATTTGTCCATGGACATTTTTACCAATAGGAAATATGTAAGAAGTTATCACATATATTTGTAATGACTAATGTCAAGTTGTTGTTGTGTTCACTCTTCTATAGTTGATTTGTACAGATTAGTTTTGTATGAGTGTGTTTGTGTATGTATGTTATTTGTCATGTGGAAATTACATGGATTCATATATGATAAACAAGATACTACATATTTTAAAAGGTCATGGAGGTTCATAGAGTGTTTATTGTTTTTTCATCTGTCTTGCTTCATAAGAGTTTGCCATATAGGTGATAAGTCTATCCCTTCTTTCCTATTCACTGCATTCGATGTGGTCAAAATGTGCAAGGCTTCAGAAGTCAATCTTTCTTTATGTGAATGAAATCCTCTTCCAAGAATTTCGACATTGTCGAAATCAATCTTATGTCCGCTGTCTATCGCATGCATTGCTATAGCTGATCTTTTTTCTAGACTTTTTAGTTCTACTTCATTTCTAGGTGGACGATTCGTGCATAGTCTATGTTCATTCACTCTGACCTTCACCTAGATAATATTATCAATACAAAGGAGTATAAGGGAAAACAAAAAATTGAAAAATCCTGGCTATCGACGATAGCCATCCCATACCGAAAGGACACAGCTGGACAACTTCAAAGACTATTTGCCTCATATAATATTAAAGTCTATGTCAAACCTTCTAATTCTCTGGAGAAAGCGCTGGTACATGTCAAAGATATAGTTCCCGAAATGTCACAAAGTAATTGTGTCTACAAGATAATGTGTTCAGAATGTGATGCATGCTATATAGGGGAGAGCAGTAGGCAGGTGAAGGTCAGAGTGAATGAACATAGACTATGCACGAATCGTCCACCTAGAAATGAAGTGGAACTAAAAAGTCTAGAAAAAAGATCAGCTATAGCAATGCATGCGATAGACAGCGGACATAAGATTGATTTCGACAATGTCGAAATTCTTGGAAGAGGATTTCATTCACATAAAGAAAGATTGACTTCTGAAGCCTTGCACATTTTGACCACATCGAATGCAGTGAATAGGAAAGAAGGGATAGACTTATCACCTATATGGCAAACTCTTATGAAGCAAGACAGATGAAAAAACAATAAACACTCTATGAACCTCCATGACCTTTTAAAATATGTAGTATCTTGTTTATCATATATGAAACCATGTAATTCCCACACAGTCAGTTCCACTGACAGTTCGTTGATTGTTTTAGGGTTAAGATACTGTTCGGGTGCCGAGACGAAGCAGCTGGTTGTCTTAAGTGACGACCACCCGAGGCTCTGACTTTGAGGCTGCGTCAGGAGCTAGGTTCCCATGATTGCCAGTGAACAATTGTTTCGATTGAATTCTGAAGCCCATGTACTCTACAGTAACTGTCTTTAGTCTAACGGCTACGCAAACAACACCCGTGATATGGTAAGACCTGCAGGAACATAGTTGCAGCCAGTTTAGCTTGTTGGGTCACTGCGGTATTCAAGGCCGACCACCACGACAAGGTGGCTGTTGTCGGCCGGGATTGTTATTCTCTTCTTAGTTAAACTTTGTTTCTACTCAAAAATTTTGACTTCATTTCTTATGAGTATTGGTCTTATTATCGTATTAATACTCAACCTTCTTAACTCTTTACAATTCAAAAATCCATTTCATTCTGGACTTATGTTACGCTTGGTTCGTATATTATTATTTCCTACTGGTCTTTGAGGAAAAAGTATTTCCAAACCTTTGATGTAATTGATATTTTTGTATTATTCAGATGTTAGCCAGTTGAGAAAAATCCTTGAAATAATAATAGATGAGCTTATGTTATCCTTCCACATCGTTTTCGCCTTGTTCAAGTTTATTTCATTTATGTCGGTGTTTGCATAAAATGTAACTGTAGAATGCTTCAGGTTGCTTGACCTCGTCCATCAACTTTCATGATGCATATGCGTGAAGATATCTTAACGATGTAACACCCACTAACAGTCCTGATGTATTGGATGTTTCTATTTTAACTGTTAGTTTACAAAGTTCTACTCAATCATTTTCAGGTACACGCACGTTCTCGGGGTCCTGTTACGGCGTTGACTCGGCAGCCTACAGAGGGTCGTAGTCGTGAAGGTGGCTTACGTGTTGGAGAAATGGAGAGAGATTGCTTCATCGCTTATGGAACATCACAACTGCTGTTAGAACGTCTTCTCCTCTCTAGTGATGCATATGATGCTTGTGTCTGCGAAAAATGTGGACTGTTAGCAACATCACCTAACTGGTGTCAGTACTGCAGAAGTAGTCGTCAAGTCGTTTCTGTGCGTATGCCGTACGCCTGTAAACTACTTTTTCAGGAACTTATGTGCATGCGGATTTTACCTCGTATTCGTTTAAGAACTGCCTATCAAAGCGGTGTACAGATTGTGAATAAATAAATCATTTTGTTACTTTGAATATAGTAATTTTTGAACAATAAGCTACTTTCAGTAATTCTTGTTATTATCAAAAGCTATTTAAATGTGAGTGATACCATACCAGGGCTGAAAAAATGAAAGCAAAATAAGAAAAAAATTCTTGTAATTACTAGTAGAGAGAATTAATTGACAGTGAGTGACAGAAACCTAACATGCTAGTGAATCAACTCTAACCGCTAATCGTAACTAACGTCAATCACAAGAACGGTACCTCTGGCATGCGGAAACAAGACTACGTGTACTTTGTCTAAAAGAGTCAACAAAGTTGAGAATAATTCTGAATATATGCAAATATCTGATATATTTTAACACAACATAAACGTTTTACTTCGGTAAATGAATGTATATATGCACACAGGAAAGTACAAATCGTTATTAATATGACAAACATCATCACGAAAACAATGCAATAAATATGCGGATTTGTGATTTTTAAACTGGTGGCAAATTCGGTATGCAAGATAACAGCCAATAAACAATGGAGGTAGTACGGTAGTTGAGTCAAATATAGGTAAAACTGCAATGGACATAACGGTAACCTGAATTATAGTGTAACATAGCGAAAAGTTTTAGAAATGTAAATTATGTTAGGAATTAGAATAAACAACAGGATAACAAAGAAGAAAAACCAACGGAGTAATTTGTGAACACCACAAAATTCTTCAAGACATGAGTTCAGTTTTATTCCGCAAACTGTTGATGCTTCTGTATAATTTGGCGGTTCAGCAGATGTTATTTTGTTTCTTTGATCAAAATTACAGTATCATTTGTATCTCACAAGTATTTGGCATACTTATATAAATATTTTCTGCTGCCATGTAGATTTGAAGGACTTCACTAAGGTTAATCTTGTTACTTACAATGTTGATACAGTGATGCAAATCGGACAACAGGTAGATCTGGCCAGAACATTAGAAAGCCTCGCTATCTATGTTTAGTGCATTTCGAACACCTGTATTCCAGATCCAAGTGGAGTGTGTCGAACATCTACTCCACCTGGAGGTTTGAATGGATTGTACTACCTGTGCTTGTCCAGTGACACTGTGGTGTCGGTATCCGGCGTAGTTGGTGTCGATGTCTAACTAAGTGCTAGAGCCGAAGCTGCATTACTCGACTGGATCCCCATTAACAGTTTTTGTACTGTGAGGCTGGAAGGTCGTAGGAGAGTAAGAAGCGGTAGGTTAGATAGATGGTGTCTATTTGTTGTCTCTCCCTATGCACCGACGGATTGCAGCCTGAATGCAATTAAGGATGAGTTCTACTACCAACTGAGCGATCTCTTGAAACAGGTACATCTGGGGGAAATCGTAGTGCTAGCTGAGGACTTGAATGCACAGATCAGGCGTCTAAGCTCAGAGGAAAATCGTCTAGGTGGTCAGTGGGGTTTACATGCGTTATTAGCTAAATCATTCGCACGCCTCATCGTTTAGTACTAATTACAAAATAATTGCAGGGGACTTCAATCTTCCAGAAGTCAATTGGTTGAGTAGTTCCGGCCCCCAACGCTTCGACGAATTACTTGCCACTATCGATTGTTATGGATGGCAGCAACACGTCCAGACACCCACTCGTGGTGACAACATGTTGGACCTTGTGTTTTGTCATGACACAATCCCAGTCTCCACCTATGTTGGTAACAGATTTTCTAGTAGTGACTATAGAATGGTACTCTGCTCTCTGCCTTTCTCACCACTAAATACAGGAAACAAACAGGATTCAAGGAGCTTGATTTGTCGTAGTTACGAACATACAGACTGGGGATTAGTCCAAGAACTCATTCGACTCTGTCACTGGGATGAATATTTTACCACTGACTCCCTGGAGACTGTAGTGTCCCTATTTTACAGGAATGTTATCCTTTGTCTAGATACTGTTGCTCCTAAGAAGGTAGTGAAATTAAGTAGACACCAAGCTGAATACATTCCGAGGGCATGCCGCAATAAGTTAAGGAAGTTGAAGAAACAGTACTATTCCACTAAGGATATATATCACTACTGCACTCAATCCACGAGTCTCTTGAATCTATCAAGCGCCAACGCTCTCAAAAGGACCTCGACGAAGAATTAAGGGCACTTGAAAGCACCTCCAAAGTTTATAACTTAACAACACTTCTTAAAAAACGAATGCAGTCGACGAGGGACATCCCCTATTTACTTCATGACAAAGTTATCTACAATGTGCCTGCCACCATCTGTGAAATATTTAGTGAATGGTTTGCAAACTTCAGTTTAGAAACGCGCATTCCTGGTGACACCGGCCCCCTTACTAGCTCTTTCCTCGGAAGCATAGTGTTCACCGACCAATTAATAGAACAAGCAGTTAAAAGCCTGAAACCTTCCACTAGCACGGGACCAGATGGCCTTGCTTCTATAATTTTCAAAAACAGTGGGTGTGATATACCCCTACTACTTCTTAAATTCTTCTCAATATCTATGGACACTGGCACTTACCCTAATGAGTGGAAAACTAGCTTCCTAATTCCACACTATAAATCCGGTGATAAGGCAAACGTACGCAATTACAGACCCATAAATATAACCCCAGTTGTCTCTCGAATCATGGAGAAAGTTGTCAGACTATCTACTTAAGGAAGATCTTGTTACAAGGTCTCAACACGGATTTCTCAAAAATAGGTCTTGCGTTATTTGCCACTTCGACTTTTTCAACTGCATCACTAGTAGTCGCGAAGCACGTAAGCTAGTTGTTGTTCTCTACTTCGATATATCTAGGGCATTTGACATGGTATCGCACAGTATTCTCTTTGAGAAGCTGTATTCATGTGGGATTCGCAATCCATTACTGAGCTGGTTAAAATCGTTTCTAAGCAATAGGGTACAAATAACCAAGGTTGGAGATGTATTGTCTCATCCTAGGCAGATCACAAGTGGGGTTGTGCAAGGTAGTGTCCTAGGTCCACTTTTATTTACAGTATACATTAACAGCATTTGCAACTGCTTCACCTCAGGTAAATCATTCCTATATGCTGACGACCTCAAAGTCGTTTACTCCTGCTACGCTCATGAACTAAGCGATATGGTAAATAAAATACATCTTGAACTAAGTAGCCTCGCAACATGGTGTACTGAATCCTGTCTAAAGTTCAACATTGATAAATGCGGCTGGATTTGTATCGGAAACAGTAACCTTGACCTGAATCTTGAAATAAATGGGCGTAAACTAGCCAAGCTTAACTCAGTCGTAGATCTCGGTATCAGATACTCTAGTAACTTAACGTTCTCTGAACAAACTGATTATGCCAGACGTAAAACACGAAGGCTCCTAGGATGCATAACTCGCAATTTCTTTTGTTGTGAAACTAGGGTTTTGCTATATAAAGTATGTGTCCGACCTATTTTAGAATACTGCCCGTTTATTCTTAGCGGACTCAGACAAAATGACAAGCTTAAGTTAGAAGGAGTGCAACGGCAATTCACCTTAAGAATTCTTGGTTTAGAAAGTGGTCTCCAATACTATGAACGTTGCAACAGACTAAGTTTAGAACCACTCTGGAAAAGACGTCTTAAGCTAAACCTGATTTTTTACTACAAGCTAACTAATCTGCTCGTGCACTCCTCCGAGCCAATAATTAAACCTACCGCTGTCATCAGTTACAATCCTAGAAATCATCACAGCCTAGCTGCTATAGAGCGTTGTCAGACTTACATGCGGTACAACTTCTTTTTAAATAAGTTTTCAGTCATTTGGAATAGACTACCAGCTGATGTGCGCGATGCAAAAACACTCTCAGTGTCCATCTCCTCAGTCACCAGACTGCTCAAATATGACAATTCACTTCTGCGTCTGAATCCTACACCCTCTTTTTCACCCTACACAGATATTTTAAGTTTATTAAACGTGTAGTTACAACAAACTACAATTATAAATTTTTATATTATTGGAAGTACATGATAGACATTTCTACACAGGACAATAATATTAGTTCACACATAATATAAAAGCTAGCATAACGGGACTAGTTAGTTAGTGCACCAAAATAACCATAGTTACTAAACAGAATGTAAATGTATATATATTAATCACTCCTTGAGGACTCCACTTGCTTTCTTTTGCGTTGCTGTTGTTTGTCTCCTTTTTTCTCTCACCATTCTGGCTTCCATTTGACTTTTTGAATGAGAGTGAAGAATGCGGATATTTGACCATTTACAATGACAAATGATCTGCAAACATCATTGGTCCCATATCTTACGATTCCCTCGTCAATTAAGCATTACCTTTCCCCACGACGCAACCTGGATTACAGTTGTGAAATATACCTTTATAGCAATAAAAAGTATTGACTTATAATACTCCACGATTGTAACTTACAACATAATTGATCGTGTCCGCAAAAGTAGCTTGCATTTCTTGAAAACACCCGTTTATAAGAAAATACAGACTGTCATTATTATTAGCCTACCTTGGGTACTATTCACTTGTGATGTTACGAAGAAAATGCTGACAAAAGTATACAAGTGTATTACTTATTTTAAATTATTATCAAATATGGATATAAATCAAGAATAAGACTCGAAGCTGTACACACCAAAGTTATATGGAGGAATTACTTCAAGCTTTATTTTTTTCCCAAGTATTTGTAATCCATCCAAAACATACTTGGGTTTTTTTGTTAATGCGAAGACAATATTTCTATATTTCTTGATGTGCTCCATTGAATGACTAGTTATCGTATTGTTCCCATAGACAAAATGACTGCAACCTTACAATTTTACCATGAACCAAATTTATGTAATTTAAATAATACTTATCCATGCCTGTACAATTGGTGTGTCCTACACAGGTAGGAAAAAATGTATTTTATTAAATTACTTTTATTAAATATGCTTACTAATCGTATATGTAATTTATCATATTGATGATGCCTGTAAACTGGCGTCCCTCATGTAAAAAATGAGAATATACTATTATTTATTTATTTACATGGTTGCAGGTCATACAATGGG